TTAACATCTTCTGATCTTCATCTCGACCATATAAACTCGGTTCTTCAATCAATTTATAGGAGGTAGAAATTCCTGTTCCTACTCTCTCCGGCTGATCAATCTCTCTGTACTTTCTAAACCTGAACCCATGACTCTCAGCGAAAATCACACTCAGTCTTTCCCTCAAACACTTAATACGACGTCGTTGACCGACCCGATTGACTAATTGACTGCAGCAAAAGCAAGAGGTAAGCCGAGAGAAGCATACCTTCATCAAAACGAAAGCTTTCTTTGTTCCATGAGTTTCTTCTTCCAATTTGGGTATGGCAGTGCTCAACTCATCCAACACGTCTTCGATGTCGCAGCTCACGTCTTTGAGCTTCTCCAACCACACTCTCACGCGCTCCTCTTTCACTCGCCTCTTCTCTGCATCCTCCAGCACTGGTTCAATGTGTCGGAGGAGTCCGGTGAGCTCGGTAAATTCTTCCTTTCCGTCCAGTTGGTCTAACAGTCTGGAAACCAGGGCAAGTGCGTCAGCCATGATCGGAGCTCGGAGCTTGGAGCTTGAAGCTTGATTGGCAAGAAAACAGGAAAAGGGGGCGGCTATATACAAAATGAAAAAAGGAATGACAGAGACTTTCATTTTTTTTAAAAAGGAAAGAGAAAGATTTTCTTTAAAAACAAAAGGAAAAAGGAAAGAGAAAGATACATATTTGTACCAAAACTGGAAAGAAAAAACAAATATTTACAGGGCCGAATATTATAAAGGTGAGTTTGCGTAGCTGACAAGGCCTCAACACTTAATTTCTTGTTTAGTCACAAGCTTGGACTATAAGACTGGATAAAATATTTATCAGTTTCTATAGTTTTACCCTAGAAAACTAATTTCACACATCATATGATATGCATGTGAGACCGATATTATTTGACAAGTTGAGCACAAATTTTTAATTAAAAAAAAAAAAGTAAAGTAGCGAGAGGAAAACATGGGAGAAATTTTATTTTTTTTTGGGTCTTTTTAATAATCATTAATTACTATTTTATTCTTATTATATTAACTTCTTTTTACTTAGTTTAATTTAAACTAGCATCTCTGCGAGCGTGCGACGTGCCACTTCATCAATTATGTCTTCAAGCACCATGAGCCTCTAGGAATTTCATAGCATGCATGAATTCTGAATTTTGGGGGCATTATGTGGAGATTAAGGCCACTTAATTATTGTCATGTAAATTTGTTAATTTCAATTTAGTATGTTTACCCTGCATTCTCAATTTTAACACTTATGTACCCTAATTTTTTTAATTTTTTGCAATCTTGTTTTGTCATTAACTTCACCTTCAAAATTTCCGTTAATTACCCATGTGATAGACGTGAGTCTCACTTATTCACCTCTTCCGATGAGAATTTGGGGGGCATTATGTGGAGATTAAGGCCACTTAATTATTGTCATGTAAATTTGTTAATTTCAATTTAGTATCATGAACTCACTTTTAAGGTATGTTTACCCTGTATTCTTAATTTTAACACTTATGTACCCTAATCTTTTTAATTTTTTGCAATCTTATTTTATCATTAACTTCACCTTCAAAATTTCCGTTAATTACCCATGTGACAGACGTGAGTCTCACCTATTCACCTCTTCCGAAGTCAGTTGAAGGAAATGTGTCTTTTGCATGTTCTGTTTTACAAGCCAAGGCTATAGCTCTTCGTAATGCAGTTTATTCGGCCCGAAAGTTTAATTTGAAAAAGCTAATTAATGAAGAAGATTCTCAAGATCTTATTTAGATCTTATGCAAGAAGAGTCAATATCCATGGAATATAGCTATAATTATTCAAGATATCCAATTCATGATTAAAGATTTTGAAGGGATACACACCTGACATGTTTTCAGAGAAGCAAATAAAGTTGCGATGGGTTTTTTTGTTTTTGGGTTATAAATAAATAAATAAAATAAGTGCGAAGCTGGTCGCTACGAATCCTACACGTGGTTAAGAAATTAAAACCCCACAGCCAAACACGACGCCATAAGATGCACCCGAGCCTGCCTGAGTTTGTTTGACGGCTCAAATAAACCACAAGAGAAAAAGTGCGAGGAAGTGTGAAAATTTGAGGGAAAGTTGCAGAAGCTAAAGAAGATGAGCAGCGAGCCCAAAACCTGTAGCGCAACTGGAGGAGGAGGAGCAGGAGCAGGAGGAAGGGGATTTAGGGCGAAAATGGAGCACTACATGTACAGCGGTGAGAAGAAGCACGTATTTGCTGGCATCGTTCTTGTCAGCGCCGTGTTTGCCGTTCCTTGGTACCTCATGACTCGAGGTTTGTTTATCTTTCTCACTTTTTTTTCGATTTACGCGCTGTCGTTTTGGGTTTAAGCATAATGTAGCTACAAATTTTAGGTTTTGGAATTTTCCTAAATTTTCTTGGCAACCAAACAGTGGAAATGTGTAAATTGGGTCAAGTGGTTCCATTCTACTACACAGCTCAGTTTAAATTAAATTCGTCGAAGTGTGTAAATTGGGTCAAATGTTTACTGATTGCTCGAGCCCCTTTTGTGTATTTAGTGAATAATTAGATTTGGGTTATGATTATCTGAGCTATGGGAATTACAATAATTTGCATTTATGAATTAATGTTTATTCATCTTAATATGCATGTTGTCTTAGGAAATTTGGGGCTCCTGTAATCTCAGTGGCATTTTGTTCTGCTCTCTTGTTGTGTGTTGTGTGTAAAAAAGAAAAGGGAAAAGACAATATGCACTGTGATTTTGACTACCAAATTGTAGGGAAATACATGGTACTATTTTCATGGTAGTTTCTTTAGATGAATGGTTATAATCCATGAATGTGCCTTGTATGAATGGGGTTCATACATCATTATCAGATTTTGTTTCGGTTGCCGGTTGATTTGCCTACCTCCCTTTCCTATGCATAAGAAAGTCATGCTACTGGTATTTTATCTGCTAAATGTAATTCAAACTGTGTTCTCTCCTGTAGGGGCAAAGCATCAATCCCATCAAGATTACTTAGAGAAAGCTGATAAGGCAAGGAGCCAAAGACTTTCTTCAGGGGCTTCTTCTGCTAAATGATTTTGAAAGCTTTCTTGTTAAGGGTGTGTAACTTTCCTCTGCTTTTTTTTTTTTCCTTCTTTTAATGGTTGGAAGGTGCGGTAGGTCTTTGTTGTTTGGCACTGTTTTTGCCTTCTCAACCTGTTCTCTGGAAGAGATACTGGCTTCTCATGATCCTTGAGGAGCAATAGTTTTGTTTATTTTCCTTGTGATAGTCACAAATCTACAGTCCATGAGGAACACATTTTCAATAACCAGCTAGAAGCAAACTTCCATTTCTTGTTATGTCAATCAGGCATCTTTCTGGTGTCATGTTGAGTTGCACTATAAAGTATGGCGGTTGAACCAAAAAAGAAGAAGCCCAGCACTACTTTTCTTAGTCTTGTGCATTTTGAGGTTCAGCATGTCTAGTAGGTGAATGGTGCTCTTTCAACTTCATTCAACTTTTTTATTTGATACAGCCAAGAAAAATTTGAGGTGTAAACAAAAATATGCTTGGTAAATTGTCTCTATGGAGTCGGGTAGACTGGAGTAAATAATGTGCCAAGGGAATTATAGCGGTCAAGAGCATTTACAATGGCACCTGAAGTTGCGTTTGATTTTTCCATTTTCCAATATCGATTGTATCAAAAGTGTCATTGCTAAGGGAAAAATGCCCCCAACCCAATACATACATACTCCAGAGTTTTATAATTTACCACTGCACCTAGTGATGTCCACAACTTGTATCTAACATGTCTCTACTTTGTATTTCATGCACTCTCAAGTAGACCTTATCAAATCACGTACACTATACAACATGAATATGTACAAAAAATAAGTGTTTGGGGCAAGCTCTATCGGGGTAGATCCATAACGGGTGTAGCATTAACATATCGAGTCAGTGTTCATTCGTAAAACACGATACTAACACCGTATCTTTATGCACTATGCTTTTAGTTCTTATTTTCTGTGAAAAATCTTTCAGCCTATAGCTTATATCTTTCAACCCTAAACCCTAAAACTTATATCTTTCTTATGTATGTTGTTTTGTAACTTTTTGAACATTTTTTGTGTAATGTGTTCGACGTAAGTTTTATAGCATTATAACACGCTTCTTTATGTTATACTAAATACTTTTTTGTTGTTGGAGTATTGTTGAAAAAAAGGCTAGAGCAAAACGAGTAAACGGGTGAAAGACACGAAGCTCGCAAAAATTGTGAATAGGTTTCATATATTGAAACACGATGAGTTAGCAGATCAGATTTGGAATAATTTCAAACGACACGACTCGTTGCCAGGTCTACCATCAAAGTATCTCAACCGGTCATGTTTGCCAACTTTCACGGTTGCCCGTCTTAGTTCAAAGAGAAAAACACAAGCAAACAAGCCATTCTGTTTATATCTGTGTAAATAGGGTATCCAAAGAGTTCTTGCTTAGTGCACATTAACAAATAAAAAAGGTAAATCACGAGAAGATAAATTTGCTTAGAAATACTGGGTTTTACTGCACATGCCTTTTATGCTTTTTCAGCGAATTTACATGAATTTGATCTTGGATGAAATTGAAAGAATCGATCCATTTACGATGTGTTTACTAATCAGGAATTGGAATTAGAAATTGAATTTCAAGTATAGAGGATTACTGTATTTACTTCACATCAAGGAATTAAAAAGAAAATAGGACCCACCCAAAATTAGAAATTGAATTTCTAATTTTAGAATAATTCAATTCTTGAGTGGAATGTGATATTCTAATTCCTGTATATCTAACCCATTAAGAATTCATCTTTTTTACCCATTATATCCTCACACAATTTTTAAAATTCCAAAATTTTCATCTACTTTAACCCAACAATGAGGGCATTTTAATAATTAGCACCACTCCAATCCCAATTCCATATGGTTTAGTAAACAACTTCAATAGGAATCCGAAATCTAACTCCCCTCAATCAATATGGTTTAGTAAACAACTTTGGTAGAAATCCAAAATCTAATTCTCCTCAATCCAACTCCTCAATTCAATTCCTCCTAATCTAAAGAAGGAACATAGACAATAGCAATAAATTATTTTTTTTATCTTTTTCATTTGTAATTCCTTCATTGAGGTTTCGCTTTACATCTAAAGTGGCATCAGTCTTCTGTACTTGAAGAACCACACAAATGCAGAAAATATGCAAAAGCCAGTTACACCCGTAATTACAAGTACCCACTTAAATGCACCAGCGTTATCAAACAAAGGTATTTCGAAGTTCATCCCAAAGATTCCTGCCACGACCCCAAATATAGCAACAACAAAAGTTGCAGTTGTGAGTAGTAGCTCAAATTGGATCAGCTGATTTCGGACATTATCCTGCGAGCAAAAACTTTCTAGCGTTAAATTTTTGTTCCCTTCATACCGACAAATTTCAAAGAAACGAAACTGAAAGTAACATCTAACATTATTGTAATCTTTAGCTATAGAATTAGCATTAGCCAACGAATTACGCATGGTATTATAGAGGTTTCTAATGATAAGTCCTCGACAAAATTCAAATTGTATTGGAAAGTCTGCAATAAAACAATGAGGTCCATCAGTGAGCATTCAATGCTAATAACTTAGTAAGTCTAGTGTACTTATTCAATAAAAGGATCATGAAGAGGCTTTTGACTAATAGTACACTTACCTAGCGTCTTTATTTGTTCAATATAATTGTTAAACAGCTTTTGGATATTTGAACAGTGTTTTAGGCAATATTTGAGACTAAAAGTAATAAACTATCTGTTGACCGAAAAAAGAAAGTAATAAACTGTCTCTTTTCTTCTTTATTCAGTTTTTAGACAAATGTTTTAGGCAATATTTGAGAGACATTTATTGAGAAAAAAATAAATTAAACGAGGCGCATACCAGCTGAATGTTTATGAAATCTTCTGTGTCATCAATGTACTCTTTCAACTGAAACACGGACAGAAAAAACATAAGCTTGTATTCTTCTACTCAAGTTAATATGACACTGGAATGATTAGATAGTCATTGATGCATATACTAATGTCAAAGTTCAATAAAACAAGTGCTATGCATACCGATGTCAGCTTATTCAGTGTGCTGTCAATGACAACAAAGTATGCTTCCAACAGCATCTCAAGCTCTTCTATACTCTCTGTAGCACTCTCTGAACTTCTCATGCTTTCATGTCGACTCCTTGCAATGCTCAGGGTTTTCTCAAGCTTTCGGCCATCGGGAGGTGAAGCTACAGGAGAAACAGGAGCAGAAAGAGATGTACCATCAGTAGATCTGTAACCCAACACAGATTGATCACCATAAAACGATGACTCCATACGACTTTTCTTGTCGGTGAGATACATCTCAGCCATATCTCCATCATCATCCATGAGCTGCTCTATTTCATCTCGAACCTAAATAGATGCAGCTCAAAGGTTGGAAGACAGTTTTGGTCATCATTTGGAGGCTTAAGCAGGATGAAATAATAAATGAGATGATTATGCAATACCTTCTGAACTCTCCGAGTCAAGGCAAGGAGCCTACTTTTCAATCGACGTGCACGCTCCAAGTTCAGTGTACTGATCTTTGACGTGAGCTCATCTAGTAATGGATATGCTTCAATTTCTAGTTCAGCTGCCTATAAACAAGCCATTATTAAATGAGTTACAAACTAGGAGAATGTTTAACCAACAAGAAAATGTTCAGACTACCGATGGTGACTTCAAATTTGTAAAGAGAATTTGTGGCCTTATTGGAAATATAACAAATCATGATATTGTTTTTTTTTTTTTCGGTTTGAGAAACGAGGTTTTAAGAACTGATTAACCACACAAGCAAACAAAACAGAGGACAAAATGTCTGCTGAATACCAAAGGTAGAAACTAACAAACAAACATGAGGAATCTGTTAACAACATATCCCTCCCCCTATACAATAATTGGGTGTTCCTTAGACTCTAAAAAGATCTAAACCTGACCAAAATATATTTATATCCCACAAAACCTCCACACTCTGCCCCAAAAGAAAATAACTCTGAATAAATGGATTATTATCATGACGACCATAAAGCATGCAAGGAGTCAATGAAAAAGATTCTTCAAATCATCTGTATTTCCACTGTCTAAGGCCTCGTCCTTTTCAGTGGTAAACACCACACCACAGATACACCTATGTTCAGTGCTTGATGAAAATGAAAGGCACACCAGTTGCTCTAAATAGCAAGGCACTACGTGCTTAGCTCCAATCATCATGACAAAATTTAATCACATAAATGGCTGAGGCACCAAGGCAAGTATCATCATCACTCAGCGTTAGGCACTGACCTCAAAACTATATAAATTTCTACATCATGGACTGTCTTTAAATTTGATACCAGCTGAATACTACAAATTTATAGATTTTCTCTAATCTAAGAAAACTTCATCTCTTCAGTAACTAGTGAAAGAATATTATCATAACATTGTTTGACATCATATCATAACATCAGAGGACAAAGGCATAAACACAAAAAAAAAAAACAAAACAAAAAAAACAATTTCGCATAATAATGACAATCTTTGGTATCATAATAGCATCTTGACAAAAGGGTACACAGACTTTGATCTATCAGTGTAAAATAAAAGGCAAGTATGATTCAGCATTCACTAAAACAGACACAAGTTTAAATTTTAGATGGATCACCACCAGATTTCAGGGACCAAACATAATATATAGTTTGCAAAAGAGTTTTATAACCATATATAGCTACTTATAAACATCTGGTACTTGAGCTAAACAAAATATGGCACAGATATTGTTTCTGATACACTCCACTTCCTTGCATTACATTACAAGTCTTCATAAACTATTATAGTGCAGAATTCAATCAATATTTAAAAGGCAAAGTTATGTGAGTATTTTTAGAAATATGTGCTCAAGGAAATACGACGAGAGATAGAGAACCCAAATTCTTGTGCTCTTTTACACACCTGAGAATCAAGAAATTTACAGGCAGCCTCCAGAGCAACTTCTAAGGCCCTAAACTCAAAGGGCAAATAATCAGGAGATGTGCTTCCAAACACACTATCAAAATTTCTATTTCCCCTCCTCCGACTCAATTCAGAACCATCGGATTGCCAAACATCACCTACCCCATTTGTTGTCAATCTTCTCTGAAGCTCCACCACATATTGCAATACATAGCTATCAAGTGAATTCAAAAGAAGAACCTCATCAGCTGTAATAATACATCGAATCTGCTCTAGGTTTACAACGATAGCCTTCTCTCTTCCAAGGATGGTTGAAGGGTAAACAAATAGAGGATCAAGCAGGCGTAGATCACGGGCAGGTAGATCACAACGGCGCATCATGGTGAACTTGTCAACCTCAATGATCTGAGAATTCCCAGACGTATCAACGCGAATCCAAGACCGAAGGCCCTGGCCCCGCTTCTTCAGCCCCAGAACATCCACACTTTGAAAGGGTTGCCTTCCAAAGGCTGCTGGTCGATAAGATGACTCCCGAAGGCTAATAGCTGATGCAGGTTTTGGGACTTTTGGCGGAAGCAGGCTCTCTTTGAGGTCATCCATTACCTATGAGCTCTCAGTGCTGCAACATTTAAAATAAGATAAAATAAAATAATTTTCTAATACTACACTTACAAATTGAAGTAGATACATGAACTAAAATTTATCCGCTGTCTTTATGTATAAAGTTACCAAAATCATTGATTGCAGGCTTTCGTGTTTGCACAAGTACTTCATTTTATGGTTCATGTGTGCTAGATATGATTAATTGCCCATCTTAGATTACAATAAGGAGACCCAATTCATCAAGAATTCCAAGAAAATAAATTATGTAATAAGGATATGATTTCCACAAAGAATGGAACACCATACATAAACATATATAGCAGAGAAAAAACTTATGCAAACGTGGGAACAAAACCAACTTTATGAACTTCAATCCACAGTTCCACCAAAAGAAAATGGAAGGCACCAAGATTCAAACCCCAAATTCAAAAGCTACAAGTTTGGTGGCTGAATGTCCAAAATCCCAGTTTCCAGACCATAAACACATACCCAGATATATGTACAAGCATGTGAATTGATATATGGAGCAAGAGAAGAAGAGTCACAATCACCTGCAATGAGAAAGAAAACCTGGGTTGCTGCCAGGAGCTGGTGTTCTTGATGATACTCAGCTCAAAATGAAATTGAAAAATTGATTGGTTTGAATAAGAACCCTAGATTCAGAAATCGGTGAGTGGGAGATGAAAACCCAGAAAGGAGAGATGTTTGGCATGCCCAGCTGAGCTGTGAATTGAAATTCGCGGTGGGCATATCAGGCGGTTTGCTTACTGGTTTTTCGGAAGAGGAACCAGAGAAGAAGAAGGAATCATTTTCATATGTCCTGGAAACAAAATCCTCAAGTTTCAAAAAGGTATATAATTAAATTAAATAAAATAATGATTTTACTGACAGGAAAAAATTAAAAATAATTTAATTAATAATTATGAATTTGAACACCAGCACAATGCGTGAGTTTTGTCTGCTTTTGTTTCGACCCGTTTTAAATGGATCCTGCATTCCCTCCTACTTCTTCGACAACTTAACGGGTCAACCGGACCTTAACCCGAACCTTAACGGATCCAAATCAACCCAACTCGACTGGATTGTTTTCTTCTTCTTGTCTTTCTTTTCTTTTTTTTTCATCTCTTAATAAAACCTAAAAGATAAAAGGATAATAACAAAAGTGGCCCCAAAAGCTCTTTAATCGACTCATTTCGAAATTTAATATTTCTAGAAAGAACAATGCTTTTTTATTTATTTAGACAAAAGGTAGTTTAAAAGACTATAGATTAATTTAATGTACAGATAAGGAGACTCGAATTTAAGTGCAAAAGGATGAGCTAACAATCTTGACTAAAAAATCTAATCCACGTCGACAAGCACAATGCTTCCTTAGATGTAAAAGGTCAATCCAATTAAAGTGGCGTATTGACTTCAAAATAGGATCTTGGTCAATATATATAAATAAATAAATAAATAAAGGGATAGATTATCAAACTGTAATTAGTTTCTATTCAACTTAGATATAAAACCTATGATGATTGTTATTTCAAAAATTGATACTTTGTCACAAATTTAACACTAGAAAAAAAAAAACAGCATAAAACTAAGAGTCCGAACTAAATTCCTTTTTTCAGTGAAAATTAACCAAATTAGTTAAGAGGTTATTTTGAACCCAAAAAAAACAAAAAATGTTAAAGAGGTTATCGTTCAAAAGTTAAGACAGCCCTTGAAAAGAACTATACCTAAGTGTTGGGCGCCTTTTCTCTTTTTCGAGTTTTTGCCTCTTTCTTTGTCATTTCCCTTTTGTCAAAAGCCGAGCCCACAACAACAGAGGCCGACACTCAATTCATAAATTTTGATGATCCCAAACAAAACCTAGGCGCCCATCAACCAAAAACCCTACTTTTTTCCTCTTACGAACTTGAAATAATCCAATATCCTAGTTCAAAACCGAATATGAACAAGTTTCCAACCCCTTTTTTTTTTTTATAATCTGTTTTATGCTTCACTTAAAAGGTTGGTTTTGATTTTGAGTATTATTGTGTATTGATAAGACCATTCACTATTTCTTGAAGCTCGATCTCTCCTCCGAATGAACTATGTAGTCGGGAAAAACCATGAACCATAATAGAAGAGCTTGCCCCACCCATGAGTAAATACTTCGTAGTAATCTTATTAGACCGTACATCTTTCTTTTAACTAGAGGTATCAAATGGAATGTACCGGCTCAAGTACGTCCCAATTAAATAAGGCCCGACATGGCGCGGTTTGTATCTTTGAATGAGTCAGAATAAAGTAATTCAACTCAATGGGCCGTGCCAGTCTGAAGTCCAATGAGCTGGCCCATTTAAAGTTCACATCTATTTATTTTATCTACCGGACTTGGATTGATGATCGCATGCCAACGAATGTTTTAACTTGTTAATTTCAAGTTGTTTCGACTTCATACTTCTTAGGAAATCTATTCCAACGAGGCTTAGAAATTTTTGTTGGTATTAGAACACGATCGCATGGTATAATTAGTCCATATGCTACGATATAGGTGGACGATATAGTTGATAATTACTCTAATACTCTTTGAGAACCACATCTCTTTCAAACTCTTGAACTTGGCTAAAGATTCGATCAAAAAATCAACTTGGCTAAAGACTCGATCAAAAAACAGAACCTTGGCTAAAGACATGCACTGTGTTGGACTGTTGAGAGATGATGATTAACATTAACTCCTCACAGCTTAGATGAGTACACGCAATTTGTTTGGGCTGATTTTAGGTCAATGCTTCACGGCAAAGCTTGCAGGTATTAACATCAATCTACACAAGTCGAGCACATAGAATTTTTTAATATAAAACAATAAAATTAAAATTAAAAGGGACAATTTGCAATAGTGAAAAGAGAAATCTTGAGAACTCTTCATTTGTAAATGGTGAGGGCATTGCCTGCTTGAGCTATGTACAAAAAGGACAATTTGATCCTCAGTTCCATTATATACAAAGAACAACCATTTAGGTTGCAAAGGGATTTGGATTAAACCCATCTATTGATTAATTACATTTCTTCTTCAAATATAAGGATTAATGTGAGATGTGTAGTCCCTGATTCCAGCTCCTTCCCATCCCATCCATTCCTCCCACATGTCCCAATCCGGATCGTTCATTCCTCTCATCGGCTCATCAACTTCTTCATCGTACGTCTCATACATCGGAGATGGAGTAGATTCTCCTCTCAAATCGCTCATAACAATCTGCATAGACAAGAGTATATGATCAGATAATTGTTACAGTATCTTATAGAACACAATGTTTCTATTGGGACCCTACCATTTGATAAAACATCATAATCAGAAAGCTTATCCAGGAACCTAATTACCTAACACACCACACAGACTTTTTTGCAATGTCTCAAAAGATGCCCAATTCCATCAACATCATAGAGACTTTAACCCCCCCAATTCATAAAGATGCTAACAATTATTCTTGGAATTTTAAGTTAGATCACAATACAGTTTCAAGTTTTAATCAGACACTAATCAGATTCTAAACCGGAAACTTTATCCAAAGACTTAGAATAGAAAAAGTGCATCCACAATTTAGTAGTGCAGGATTCTATTCTGGTGACAGTTAATTATGCTTACATTTTAAATGGTATTGCATTAAAACTCATATTCACAACAGGCTTTGACTCTCATCCTATCTGTTCTATGGGGTTAAGAGAGCATCTTTTGCCCATGACTGGTTATATGCTTCAATCATCATCCTCAAGATAAGGAACAAAAGAGACCAACAAAATCGTAAACAATTAATTCTCTGATAGCCCAAAAGAAGAAGAAGCAGATAGCATCTAAAAACTTTATTGGAACACCATCTTGCACAGAAATTACAAGTGAACATGACATGCATACTTCCAAGATAAAATAGCAGGCTTGATTGATAATCGAAAATACCAAAGGGAAGACAAATACATACATCATAAGCTTCATTTATCTGGTTGAAAGGGTTGCCTTCCAAAGGCTGCTGGTCGATAAGATGACTCCCGAAGGCTAATAGCTGATGCAGGTTTTGGGACTTTTGGCGGAAGCAGGCTCTCTTTGAGGTCATCCATTACCTATGAGCTCTCAGTGCTGCAACATTTAAAATAAGATAAAATAAAATAATTTTCTAATACTACACTTACAAATTGAAGTAGATACATGAACTAAAATTTATCCGCTGTCTTTATGTATAAAGTTACCAAAATCATTGATTGCAGGCTTTCGTGTTTGCACAAGTACTTCATTTTATGGTTCATGTGTGCTAGATATGATTAATTGCCCATCTTAGATTGCAATAAGGAGACCCAATTCATCAAGAATTCCAAGAAAATAAATTATGTAATAAGGATATGATTTCCACAAAGAATGGAACACCATACATAAACATATATAGCAGAGAAAAAACTTATGCAAACGTGGGAACAAAACCAACTTTATGAACTTCAATCCACAGTTCCACCAAAAGAAAATGGAAGGCACCAAGATTCAAACCCCAAATTCAAAAGCTACAAGTTTGGTGGCTGAATGTCCAAAATCCCAGTTTCCAGACCATAAACACATACCCAGATATATGTACAAGCATGTGAATTGATATATGGAGCAAGAGAAGAAGAGTCACAATCACCTGCAATGAGAAAGAAAACCTGGGTTGCTGCCAGGAGCTGGTGTTCTTGATGATACTCAGCTCAAAATGAAATTGAAAAATTGATTGGTTTGAATAAGAACCCTAGATTCAGAAATCGGTGAGTGGGAGATGAAAACCCAGAAAGGAGAGATGTTTGGCATGCCCAGCTGAGCTGTGAATTGAAATTCGCGGTGGGCATATCAGGCGGTTTGCTTACTGGTTTTTCGGAAGAGGAACCAGAGAAGAAGAAGGAATCATTTTCATATGTCCTGGAAACAAAATCCTCAAGTTTCAAAAAGGTATATAATTAAATTAAATAAAATAATGATTTTACTGACAGGAAAAAATTAAAAATAATTTAATTAATAATTATGAATTTGAACACCAGCACAATGCGTGAGTTTTGTCTGCTTTTGTTTCGACCCGTTTTAAATGGATCCTGCATTCCCTCCTACTTCTTCGACAACTTAACGGGTCAACCGGACCTTAACCCGAACCTTAACGGATCCAAATCAACCCAACTCGACTGGATTGTTTTCTTCTTCTTGTCTTTCTTTTCTTTTTTTTTCATCTCTTAATAAAACCTAAAAGATAAAAGGATAATAACAAAAGTGGCCCCAAAAGCTCTTTAATCGACTCATTTCGAAATTTAATATTTCTAGAAAGAACAATGCTTTTTTATTTATTTAGACAAAAGGTAGTTTAAAAGACTATAGATTAATTTAATGTACAGATAAGGAGACTCGAATTTAAGTGCAAAAGGATGAGCTAACAATCTTGACTAAAAAATCTAATCCACGTCGACAAGCACAATGCTTCCTTAGATGTAAAAGGTCAATCCAATTAAAGTGGCGTATTGACTTCAAAATAGGATCTTGGTCAATATATATAAATAAATAAATAAATAAAGGGATAGATTATCAAACTGTAATTAGTTTCTATTCAACTTAGATATAAAACCTATGATGATTGTTATTTCAAAAATTGATACTTTGTCACAAATTTAACACTAGAAAAAAAAAAACAGCATAAAACTAAGAGTCCGAACTAAATTCCTTTTTTCAGTGAAAATTAACCAAATTAGTTAAGAGGTTATTTTGAACCCAAAAAAAACAAAAAATGTTAAAGAGGTTATCGTTCAAAAGTTAAGACAGCCCTTGAAAAGAACTATACCTAAGTGTTGGGCGCCTTTTCTCTTTTTCGAGTTTTTGCCTCTTTCTTTGTCATTTCCCTTTTGTCAAAAGCCGAGCCCACAACAACAGAGGCCGACACTCAATTCATAAATTTTGATGATCCCAAACAAAACCTAGGCGCCCATCAACCAAAAACCCTACTTTTTTCCTCTTACGAACTTGAAATAATCCAATATCCTAGTTCAAAACCGAATATGAACAAGTTTCCAACCCCTTTTTTTTTATAATCTGTTTTATGCTTCACTTAAAAGGTTGGTTTTGATTTTGAGTATTATTGTGTATTGATAAGACCATTCACTATTTCTTGAAGCTCGATCTCTCCTCCGAATGAACTATGTAGTCGGGAAAAACCATGAACCATAATAGAAGAGCTTGCCCCACCCATGAGTAAATACTTCGTAGTAATCTTATTAGACCGTACATCTTTCTTTTAACTAGAGGTATCAAATGGAATGTACCGGCTCAAGTACGTCCCAATTAAATAAGGCCCGACATGGCGCGGTTTGTATCTTTGAATGAGTCAGAATAAAGTAATTCAACTCAATGGGCCGTGCCAGTCTGAAGTCCAATGAGCTGGCCCATTTAAAGTTCACATCTATTTATTTTATCTACCGGACTTGGATTGATGATCGCATGCCAACGAATGTTTTAACTTGTTAATTTCAAGTTGTTTCGACTTCATACTTCTTAGGAAATCTATTCCAACGAGGCTTAGAAATTTTTGTTGGTATTAGAACACGATCGCATGGTATAATTAGTCCATATGCTACGATATAGGTGGACGATATAGTTGATAATTACTCTAATACTCTTTGAGAACCACATCTCTTTCAAACTCTTGAACTTGGCTAAAGATTCGATCAAAAAATCAACTTGGCTAAAGACTCGATCAAAAAACAGAACCTTGGCTAAAGACATGCACTGTGTTGGACTGTTGAGAGATGATGATTAACATTAACTCCTCACAGCTTAGATGAGTACACGCAATTTGTTTGGGCTGATTTTAGGTCAATGCTTCACGGCAAAGCTTGCAGGTATTAACATCAATCTACACTTAGACAAAAGGTAGTTTAAAAGACTATAGATTAATTTAATGTACAAATAAGGAGACTCGAATTTACAAATAAGGAGACTCGAATTTAAGTGCAAAAGGATGAGCTAACAATCTTGACTAAAAAATCTAATCCACGTCGACAAGCACAATGCTTCCTTAGATGTAAAAGGTCAATCCAATTAAAGTGGCGTATTGACTTCAAAATAGGATCTTGGTCAATATATATAAATAAATAAATAAATAAAGGGATAGATTATCAAACTGTAATTAGTTTCTATTCAACTTAGATATAAAACCTATGATGATTGTTATTTCAAAAATTGATACTTTGTCACAAATTTAACACTAGAAAAAAAAAAACAGCATAAAACTAAGAGTCCGAACTAAATTCCTTTTTTCAGTGAAAATTAACCAAATTAGTTAAGAGGTTATTTTGAACCCAAAAAAAACAAAAAATGTTAAAGAGGTTATCGTTCAAAAGTTAAGACAGCCCTTGAAAAGAACTATACCTAAGTGTTGGGCGCCTTTTCTCTTTTTCGAGTTTTTGCCTCTTTCTTTGTCATTTCCCTTTTGTCAAAAGCCGAGCCCACAACAACAGAGGCCGACACTCAAGTCATAGATTTTGAGGATCCCAAACAAAACCTAGGCGCCCATCAACCAAAAACCCAACTTTTTTCCTCTTACGAACTTGAAATAATCCAATATCCTAGTTCAAAACCGAATATGAACAAGTTTCCAACCCCTTTTTTTTTATAATCTGTTTTATGCTTCACTTAAAAGGTTGGTTTTGATTTTGAGTATTATTGTGTATTGATAAGACCATTCACTATTTCTTGAAGCTCGATCTCTCCTCCGAATGAACTATGTAGTCGGGAAAAACCATGAACCATAATAGAAGAGCTTGCCCCACCCATGAGTAAATACTTCGTAGTAATCTTATTAGACCGTACATCTTTCTTTTAACTAGAGGTATCAAATGGAATGTACCGGCTCAAGTACATCCCAATTAAATAAGGCCCGACACAGCGTGGTTTGTATCTTTGAATGAGCCAGAATAAGGTAATTCAACCCAATGGGCCGTGCCAGTCTGAAGTCCAATGAGCCGGCCCATTTAAAGTTCACATCTATTTATTTTATCTACCCGGACTTGGATTGATGATCGCATGCCAACGAATGTTTTAACTTGTTAATTTCAAGTTGTTTCGACTTCATACTTCTTAGGAAATCTATTCCAACGAGGCTTAGAAATTTTTGTTGGTATTAGAACACGATCGCATGGTATAATTAGTCCATATGCTACGATATAGGTGGACGATATAGTTGATAATTACTCTAATACTCTTTGAGAACCACATCTCTTTCAAACTCTTGAACTTGGCTAAAGATTCGATCAAAAAATCAACTTGGCTAAAGACTCGATCAAAAAACAGAACCTTGGCTAAAGACATGCACTGTGTTGGACTGTTGAGAGATGATGATTAACATTAACTCCTCACAGCTTAGATGAGTACACGCAATTTGTTTGGGCTGATTTTAGGTCAATGCTTCACGGCAAAGCTTGCAGGTATTAACATCAATCTACACAAGTCGAGCACATAGAATTTTTTAATATAAAACAATAAAATTAAAATTAAAAGGGACAATTTGCAATAGTGAAAAGAGAAATCTTGAGAACTCTTCATTTGTAAATGGTGAGGGCATTGCCTGCTTGAGCTATGTACAAAAAGGACAATTTGATCCTCAGTTCCATTATATACAAAGAACAACCATTTAGGTTGCAAAGGGATTTGGATTAAACCCATCTATTGATTAATTACATTTCTTCTTCAAATATAAGGATTAATGTGAGATGTGTAGTCCCTGATTCCAGCTCCTTCCCATCCCATCCATTCCTCCCACATGTCCCAATCCGGATCGTTCATTCCTCTCATCGGCTCATCAACTTCTTCATCGTACGTCTCATACATCGGAGATGGAGTAGATTCTCCTCTCAAATCGCTCATAACAATCTGCATAGACAAGAGTATATGATCAGATAATTGTTACAGTATCTTATAGAACACAATGTTTCTATTGGGACCCTACCATTTGATAAAACATCATAATCAGAAAGCTTATCCAGGAACCTAATTACCTAACACACCACACAGACTTTTTTGCAATGTCTCAAAAGATGCCCAATTCCATCAACATCATAGAGACTTTAACCCCCCCAATTCATAAAGATGCTAACAATTATTCTTGGAATTTTAAGTTAGATCACAATACAGTTTCAAGTTTTAATCAGACACTAATCAGATTCTAAACCGGAAACTTTATCCAAAGACTTAGAATAGAAAAAGTGCATCCACAATTTAGTAGTGCAGGATTCTATTCTGGTGACAGTTAATTATGCTTACATTTTAAATGGTATTGCATTAAAACTCATATTCACAACAGGCTTTGACTCTCATCCTATCTGTTCTATGGGGTTAAGAGAGCATCTTTTGCCCATGACTGGTTATATGCTTCAATCATCATCCTCAAGATAAGGAACAAAAGAGACCAACAAAATCGTAAACAATTAATTCTCTGATAGCCCAAAAGAAGAAGAAGCAGATAGCATCTAAAAACTTTATTGGAACACCATCTTGCACAGAAATTACAAGTGAACATGACATGCATACTTCCAAGATAAAATAGCAGGCTTGATTGATAATCGAAAATACCAAAGGGAAGACAAATACATACATCATAAGCTTCATTTATCTGGTGAAACTGAACTCCACAATTGTTTCCTCTGCATACGTCTGGATGATACTGCAATTGACAAAGTCCAATCAGTCAACAAAGCCCCCAACAATGATTTAAACTCACAAAATTTTATTATAAATTTAAATAAAACCCTTAAATTGACAATTATCAACTGAACTAATCCCCTAATAAATACCCAAAACGCGTGATTAGTAGAAAATAGCTAATAAATAAATAAAACCCAGCAAGAAATAAAAAACTGTAACAGAAGAAAAGGATCCCAACAGGAAAAAAGTACTTGGTAAC